AGATTTTTGCCTGTCTCCTGGAAGTAGAAGAGATGCTCTTACTGATTCCACCATTCTTTCATTAACAGGGTTGATTTTCAGGTAAGAAAAAAAAAAATGAAAAAAGGAGGAGGAAAATACAGGTAGAAGTTTCATACAACCTTGGAATGAGTGGAGTGGAAGCACCACAATCTATGTAGGTTAGTAGCAGCTTTTCAGGGACTCTGGCAGAGTTTCTCTTCACATTACCTCTTCTCTGATTCATTTTACCCACAATGTCAGAATGTGAACCTAGGAGTATTTGCATGCAGTAAATGTACTCCAGTGCTTATTTTTCAGGAGAACATCTAGGTGAAAAGGTTCCTAATGTCCACGTACAGACAATTTTTTTTTATTATTGTTTTAGCATAAAGCAAAGGAGACTAATGAGGAATATGGTTCATGTATCTAAAATCATGCACAGTGGGGAAAACGTGGAGAGAGAAGGGCCAGGCATTGAATGTGGGGATAGTTGGAACCAGTGGAAAAATGGTTTACCCCATCCTGGAGCTAAACAGTAGAATTCTCTGCCAGTAGAAATGATGGCCACCAATTTAGAAATTTCTTAAAAAGGATACTAGATAATTTCATGGAGGCTCACAGTGGCTACTGGTCTTGGTGTCTGTTTATTTCAACCAGATTTATAGGCAATAGACCTTCAGTACTGGTCAGTGGGAAGTCATAGTGGGAGAAGAATCTTGCCCTCCTGTCTGTGCTTATGAGCCTTCCCAAAAGTAACAGTTAGCCATGGTGTGACACTGAATGCTGAGCCAGGTCTCTATGTTCTTTCATTCTTTGCTCTTTAACAATATTTTTCTATTGAGGAGCTACCCAAGGGACCTTTTAATTGCCATCTGCTTATGTCCATTAGACCAGCTTGTTGCTGAAGAATACATATGTAGAATTAATACTGTAATGGAGATCAAAACTTCTCTGATGCTGGAATTTTCCCTCATACAGCAGAGAAGTAGCTGTTTATGGGAACTTGCGTGTGAATGCATTTCTCTGCAATCTCTCTCTATATGCTCAGGGGCTCCATGCATTTCAGAGCTACATGTTATGTTGAGCACCTAGAATCATAGAGTTGGAAGGGACCAACCTCCAATCAGTACACAATCCCTTAAGTATCTCTGACTGACGACCATCCATCTGTTTGAAGACCCCCAAGTGAAGAAGAACTTACTGTTCATATGTCAGGCTGTTCTACTGGCTGACAGCTCATACAGCCAGGAAGTTCACCCTGAAGTTCTAAATCAGCCTGGGAGTACTTCTTCTATTTGGTGAGCTAGGGCTAACAGTGTAAGAGACTTGTGTGGTAGGGTTGATTTCCTAAATCTTGGGTTTTCCAATGGAAGGAAGATAAGGTGGCCAAAAGTATTGCCTGGTGAACTCAGACTGATCTTAGATTAGTGATCTAATCTCTGTAGTGAGTTTAGATTAAACAAAGCTCCATTCATGAACACAAGAAGATGTGAACTTAAAGAAATGGGAAGAAGGATCCTGGAACAATCTTTATTTCACTTATATCCTTTCCCCACCGAGGAGGAGGAAGAGAAAAAGGAGGAGGAGGAGGTTACTGAGGTCTCCCAAACAAAGGTTGATCAGATTAAGACTTGGTTAGATAGTGATGAGCTTCTGGGCTGAATGACTGTGATCTAATTTTCTGGTATCCTGGTAAGACTTGGTTAGCTTCAGCTAGATTCCTGCAAAAGACCATTTCCAATCCGAACTTGGACCCCCTCAAAATAGAATTTTTGGGGGGAGGATGTTAGAGCTCATACAGTCCATCCCCTTTTTCAATACAGAACCTGCATGTGGGATGCAGTTTCAGCCTTGTGAACAACCTCTTGTTAAATACCTCCTGAGAAGGAGAGCCTATTGTCATCCAAAGCAGACAGCAAGAAACAGATCACCTTATTAGAAACATTTGCCCTAATGTTTCACCCAAATTTGTTTCCTTGCCATAACTCTTCCCAGGTTAAAATAGCTTGCTCTTTCAACTATTTCTCATAAGAGCTTTAATTTCCCCATGTTCAAATTGAAGAGACAAATCCGCAAACGTTGTCTGAAAGAATAAATTGTGAGAAAGAGTGAAGATCTGGGGGGAAAAAACAGGACTTACCATTAGGTATCTTGATGAGAAAAGGGACATCCTTGGCTGATTACAGCTCTTCACATCTCTAAGTACTAAATCATCTGCCCACACCCAGGATAAAAGGCTCTTAAGGGGATCAGGTAGACTGTTTCCATGTTCAGTCCTGGAAGGAAGCCAACTCAAGTCTCTGGGAGCTTGTAGACAATAAAAAGAAGTTAGCAGTTGGGTTCTTTAGTGGCAAGAACATCTCTAGAGGTGGGGGAAGGTGAGAAAGAAACAGTTGCAATTAGATTTGCCTTCTTAGTGGTCCTGATGAGCACACAAATGGAGATGGAATCTTGGAATCTCTTGGAATTTCTAGCTACTATTTATTTATTTAGAAAAAAAAAAAATCATAGCCTATCTTTCTATTCATCCAATATTCCAATCCTATCCTCATTCCCAATAAGTCTTTACATAACCA